TCAAACTCCTCAAAAACCAAGCTAACCTAACCTAGGCATCGAACCTCTGAGGTAGATCAAAAAAACGAAAATTTCAATTTTATATTTTCATTTACTTGATACACCAACCTTAGGCTAGATATAATCTTATTGGCTGTGGATACATTAAAAATAGCAAATTTACAATAGATACATCCACTTTTGTTTGATAATTCACACTTGTTACACAGCTAAATATTTTATTGTGTATTTGTATTAATGTATTTGAAAGTTTCTATTACTAAGTAGTTGATTAATGATTCTTTCTTTTTTTAATAATTCAAAAATGTGCTATTAAATTAATTATATATCAAACGTAGTTTGAACACCGATGCGCTGTTTTATATATAATTGCATATGCTTACCACAGCATCATGTCGGGAACATGTCGGGTATATCGTATACATATGTTGTGCCGTTTTTTTGTGCCTGAAAACGTTTCTGTTGCAGAAAATCTTTGGTCATGTAGTGCGTGGAAATTGGATGACCTTGCAGTGAGCCCAGCTTTTCGCCATACGCCTTAAACTTAATCTGAAATAAACCAACAAAACAAAATTTATTTCATTTGCAATGTGTTGAGACATTACTCTTCGGTATATTTTACTTACAATTCCCGCCTCTGGATCCGTGACTTCCGTGTACATAGCAATATCTAAGAAGTCATTGGCAATGCATAAGCATATGGCCTGTGTTGGGGCTTGCGGTGACTGTCGGATCAGCATTTTCAACTCAGCTTGCAGCACACGTAATTTCCACAGACGTTGACCGTAGCGCATTATCATTCTGGTGACAGATTCCTCAATCTTAGCTGGATCCATTATAACAGTTGGCACGAACTTTAGCAAAATATGATTACAATCTGTGCGCTTGGAATGCGGATGCGAGAAGGCCACTTCCAATTCGTCCATTGATTCGAGTAACACGCGTTCGCCTTCGTTTTGTAGATATTCGAATGATGCCTCTTTGGTGATGAGATCCGAATGTCGAATAATGGAACGTATGAAGGAACGATAGTCGGTGACTTCTTTGCCCTTCGTACCCTTGGCTTTACCCAGATAGAGGTGCATTTTTTGCTTCGCAGTTGGTAAGGCTTCGAATTCATAGGATTCAGTTCAAGTTGG